AGATCCAGGTTCTGAGGTTTCTGCTCAGGGCTATTTACACAGAGCAGCAGCCAGGAGCAAAGTGGGGTCTCTTGCGTTATCTACCCTGTTAACGTGGGAGAAACACAGTGGTGTGGACACTCGTGGGCTCCAGGTAGTCGGCACCGTCCACTCTGTATTGTCTGCTGCCAATGCCGACCTCCAGTGGCCCCCGCCTGAACGCTTGCTTTGTTCGTGAGGCCTGGCCAGGCACTGCCTGCTAATGTCCAGCTTGGGGCCCATTAGCATCCAGGGCCAGTGTCGCACCTGCCCCCACTGCCCCTGCTGCCATGGGCTCTCCAGGGTCTTGGTAGACAACCAGGGACAGCTGGGCCCTCGCCATCCTGAGCCCGTTCTTGGGGGACCATCCCCCGCCCTCTACCGCATGCACCATGTGGTGGGGAGGGGAGCAGCTCTTGGCCATGGGAGGGACCCCCAGTGACCGCCAGGGCTGACGTGTTGCTGGCCACCGGCCGCCGACCTGCTGCCTGCAGGTGGTGGGAACCAGGCCATGCGCCGGCCAAGTGTTGGGAAGCGTGGCGGCGGAGGATGTCCAGCAACCGGGCAGCCCGTGTGGGAAGGTCTCAGGACAGTGCTGGCCACACACTTGGTGCCCCAAAGGTGGGCCGTGGGCTGCAAGTGGTGCAGCCGGAACTTTCTAGCATGTGATGAAGACAAACCACACCGGTCCATTTAGGCGTCGGGAGGGCAGAGGTGTGGGGCCTGAGAGGGCCATGTCCCTGTGCCCATTCTAGCTGCAGGGACACCCCATGAGGCCTGGTCTATGCCTGGTGCCTGCCAGGGGTGGCAACGAGGGGGCCCTATGCAGGGCGGGCCTGCTGCTCCCTGGGCATCTCTTCGGCCCCTCCCGTGACCCTGTTGCTGACACTGATGCCAGCTCCGCGGCCCCAGACCCCCTACAGACCGCCCTTTCCAGAAGGCGGAAGGGCAGCCTGCTGGGGCAGCTGACCGACCCCTGGCTGCATCCTACAGCAAGTCACCGCCCCTCCGAAGCACGTTGCCTCTCTGGAGGGCCCCTGGAGTGCCGTGTCATCCAGAGGCGCTGGAGGCCGGGACCCCCCAGGCGCAGCTGGCATCCTGCACGGCAGCTCTCACCCTGTCCCCTCTACAGCTGCACACCAGAGGCCAGGTGACCCACCAGAACCTACCCATGGTGTGGCTTTGTGGGCGTGGGGCCAAAGTTCTGTGGCTGGCTGCAGGCTGTGCTGAGCGACTTCCTCTGACTTGTTCTTTTACCACTTCTAAGGTCCCAAGTGGCCCTCGCTCACATTAGAGAATGAGGCAAGAGTATTTGATCACCCCGTCATGTAAGAAAGTGCACCCAAACAGCTTCTAACCTCCTTTCCATTGTGTATAGTGCTTAACAACATAACTCCTTTTTTCTAAACAACATAACTCCTTTTTCAAAAACCTGATTAAGCAAAACCAGGGCCTGGTGAAAACCCTTCAGGCACTACAGCAAGCAGAAACAGTACTGTCCCAGTGGGCTGACCACTGCTCTAGCAGCTCGGGACAGACCAAGTGGTCAGACCAGTCCATGCACTGACCGCGAGCTCAGGCTGCAGGCCCCACAGGGGCGCCCGTCGAGTCTCACTGAGCCCGGAGGCCGGTGTGTCCCCAGGGCTGCTGTCCACTCAATGCCACAGCTGCGCCTGCCTGCCGCCCATGGCCCCGCGGCCCCCTTCTCCCAGTTCCGGACCCCTTCTCCAGACGTCGTGCCTTCACAGCCACATCCTCCCAGCCGTCTCTGCGCCTGCGTCTCTGTCCAAAACCTGGCGATTCTGCCAAACGCCAGGGCCCTGGGTAGACTTGTGGCCAACCTCGCTGTCCAGCTCCACCTGGGCAAGCTGGACTGACCCCTGAAAGGAAGGGTCCCCCTCCCTGACTGCACCCCATGGCCTGGAGAAACGGTCGCCACTGGCATGTTGAGGGACGCTGGGAGAACACTCCCAGTCAGGGCCGAGCATAGACAGGCCAGAAAGAGCAGCCGCGGCCCCACCCTGCCAAACCCGGGACACCAGACCGGCTAGACTGGGAGTCGTTTAGCCAATGATGTGCAGACGCCCATGTTTTGGAAGGTTCCAAAGAGCTTTACAGTTGGCCCCAGGGAGGCTGGACGCCCAGGGGTGTCCTCAGTCGCAGAACCCAGAGGGCCTGGGTGCCAAGCTGGGCATCTCAGCGCTCGGACGTCACGGTGGCCACTGACACTTCCCCACCTTGGGGTATCAAGACGGGGCCACGGGGCTCAGTGCCACAGTGGGGGTGCTCCCTGGAGACCCACTTCAACAGCCAATAAAACCATCTTTACTGTTGCCTGGCCCTGAGCCTCCCAAGCCACCAGCAGGGTCTGTGAGCTGAGCACGTGTGAACTACTGAGGATACGTGGGGTCCCTAACGCAAAGTGCTTAGGGACCACCCTGGCCGTCTGCCCCAGGCCCTATGCCTGCAATGTGCGCCAAGAAAGGCACGGGTTTCGCCCAAGCAGGAGCTCCGTGTCCTGAGGGCCTTGTCGGTCGGCTCCGGGTGCCTTGGGGTGGGGAGGCCAGACCATACCCCTGTGGGCAGCACCGACCCCACTGGCCCATCCACCCAACACGCATTGGCACTATGGCCTGGGCCCGTGCAGGAAGCTCCCCGTCAGCGTGTCCACGACACTGGCTCCTGGGTTATTTTTTCCGGATTCCAGGGAAGTTGAAGGATTTGAGAAGAATCCCAGGAACCGCTACCACAGCCTATGGACAGAAGATAATGGCCTGGCTTCAGGAAATAGCGCAAGCAGCTTTGCTCCTAGGGGCGGGGTGGTGGCTGGGGCCCACATGCCCGAACCCTCGACCCAAAGCCCGGGGTCCAGAGCATGACAGCCACTCTCATGGAGATGCGGGGCCCCAGGGAGGAAGCAGGCACCACGCCAGACCTGCTGGGGGCGGCCAACCCTGCCTCTAGCTTGGGCCTGCATCAAGGGCTGGCAGCCGGGACAGTGAGCTGACCCTGCAGGCGTCAGCATCTGTGCAGCCGTGTGGGCCAAGGGCGACTCCACCTGTGGGGGCCTGGCCCTCGGTCCCTGAAGGGGAGACGCCTTTGTATCCACTCTCTCTCAGGGTGCTGCCACAGCCCTGCCTTCTGGGGGAGCTATAGCCCCCTGCCCAGTGGCCTCGGACTACAGTGCCATCTCACAAGCAGACATTCAACACATCCCTGAAGAAAGCTCCGTGTGACCACCTCAGCAGCGACACCCACCCACGACCTGGCCCTGCAGCCTTGCCTGGTACAGATGGGGATACTGAGGCCCAGGCCCACCCTGGCCCAGTGGGCACATGGCAGCGTGGTCTTCAGGGTCCTGGGTGCTCCCGGGCACCCAGCACAGACCCAGCATAGTAGCAGCCTGGCCCCACAGCGACACCTGCTGGCCGCAGCACAAGCTTCAGGCCCTGAGGGAGGCCGACTGGCCACGCCTGTTGGATGTTTTCAGTAAAATCAATGTCCTCACTTGCAGGACTTCGTCTCAGGTGTGCTTTAAAGCAAATCTAAGGTGCAACTGGCCACAAACAAGCTGATCTTGCAACTGTGACCTCGCAGTAGTTTCATGAATCCTTGTCTCTAAAACACAGGTTCCCAAACCAGCCACCCACCCTGCATTTCAGCTGTTGTTCTAGAACAGTGACTTGACTCCTGGCTTTTCAGACTCGGTACTTGCCCCCTTGAAGAGGGCGTCCTGTATTACACCGTAACATCATGGACATTCTGTTGGAAGGCAGGTCTGGCAGTGTGGGTGTTTGTGAGGTGATCAGCCCTACGCAGAGAGACACTTAAAGGAAACTGATCTCACCTGTCCCTCCCAGTTTTGCAGATGTGACTGACACGTAGCATTGTACTACTTTAAGGTCACAGTGAGATGATGTGATAGAAGCTGCAAGATGATCAATAAACTCAGAAAACACCCATCACCCCAAGTTTCTTCTGTGGTAACTTCAAGGTCCAGTCTTCTATCAACTTTCAAATACACAATTCAGCGCCTTTGATACCCATGCTGTGCACGCCCCAGGGTTCACTGAACACCGGCCCCTGTGCCTTCCTCCCCTACCCGCCCCCCCTCCCCCCAGCCTCAGCTGTGTCTGCTGACTCAGCAGGACAGCTGAGGGTGGACTGGTGAGGATGGCTTTCTGGGACCTGAACCCCCTCTAGCAGAGGGCTCTGGGGGTAGACTCGGGCCTGCAGCAGGGCCCGCCTGGATGTGCAGCCAGGCCAGATGCACAAGACACCACAGACTTCGAGCGGACACGCTGGCCTTTCTCCCCTCACAGTTCTAGAGACAAAGTCCAGGATAGAGGTAGGAAGGCCCCTGCCTGCCTGCTTGTCAGCATTCCCGGTGGAGGGCGTATGCTGAGCTCTGTTCCTGGGAGCACCAGCCACCAGGTCAGGGCTACCTTGGTAACCTTCGGTGAGCGTGATGGCCCCCATAGGCCCTGTGCCTTCAAATGCAGTCATGGGGGACTAGGGCCTCCACACATGCATGTGGAGGACACAAGTTAGCTCAAATCCAGGGCCGAATTGGATAAGCTCCAGGGGATGTGACTCCCAAAGGGTAGGGCTCTTGGGTGAGAATCAAGAATACACCTGAACCAGTAGAGGCAGGTAGATGGAAAAACAACTGGAAAGAAAGCAAAAAACACCCATCAAAACCCAAAGGCAGCGAGGCAACAGAAAAGGCAGGGCAGAAAAGCAGAGCGAGACGGTGCAGAGCACCTTGATACTCAGTAAGGCGGCTCATGTGAATGGCGAGTTTCCAGTGAGATGGTAATCAGATAGAAAGGGAAAAAGCCACCTTCCAGCTTGGAGGAGGCACAAGTCAAATGTCACAAAGACCCACCAGAGGGATGAAGAAAACAGACCATTCAAACACTAATCTGCATGCTCATGTAAATGTTTTCAAAGGGATATTTAAGGCAAAATGAAAACATTACTAAAGTAGAAGCTCTAGGTCTAACATTCTAAATATGAAGGCAAGGCATTCCAAACTTCTATGTACCTAGTAATAAGGCATGAAAATACATAAAGCCAAAGTGGGCAGAATTATCAGGAAAAACTAGAAAATCTATTTGAGTATGAAATTTCAACCTATCTCAGAATTGAAAGATCAAGTAGTGCGAAAACAGCAGTAAATAGGAAACAAAGCAACACCACCAGTAACAGGCCTGGTCCAATGGACACTTGGCAACTGGAATACCACACTTCTAAAAAGACGACCTTATTTAGGTCACAGGGCAATCCCAACACACCCATCTTACACAAACAGATTCTTTGCGACCATCCAATGAAAGCAGACATCAATCCTAAGAGTTTTAAAACCTATGTGCTAAACAAACGTATTCACTTTTGTAAGTCAGACAAGAAATTGTAATGAAAGAAAAAACACTGAGACTTTAAAAATGTTTCTAGTTCTTTGACAATGCACTACTGCCACACTAGCCCTGTGGGTGCAGGCTGTGGCAGGAACTGCGATCGCTAAAGTCAGCATTTGTGTGGATACAAACCATGTGCCGAGGCATCTGGAGCCCGGGAGGAAGGTATGGGAGGGCTCCCTGCAGGAGTGACCAGGCAGGTGGCAGAGGAGCCAGCTCGCATGCCTTACAGTGACGAGCTGGCAAAGTTGTCAAGAATTTCTGGCCTTGAGGCTTAAACTTCAGGGGCCACCCATCATCTGGTGTAGACCCCCAGCCTGGGGGAGGGCCTGTGTTCCTGTGAGACCGGTGTACCGGCTGAGTCCATGGGGTCTGCCCTGCATGCCTCAGGGTGTGCCTCGGCAGGACAGCCCATGAGGGGACTTTTGGAAGGCCCTCCCGTGTCACTAGAGGTAGCAAGTAGACGGATGTGCCCTGGACATTTTCCCACCCAGAGGCCAGGAAGTTCAGCTAGCGTGCCGTGGCGCCAACAACAGGCCTCCTGTGAGTGAAGACGACTGGACAGTGGCCGAGTCCAGCTGAGAACGACCTTAGGTTAGTGTCATCTCTTCTGCTTCCTTCACCCCATTCTAACAGGCAGGCACGTGGCGGCGGGGGAGGGGGTGGGGTTGGGAGTGGCAGAGACCGACATTCACCCAGATCACTCTCACCGCCATCTCGGCAAACTGGCATTTAATTCTGCGTGGTTCACGCGAAGGCAGAGCTGGCAGCCGGCTACGTGGATAGGAGACCAGCTTGTCCCAACACCCTGCTCCCAATAGCGTCACAGCAGTGGGCCCCCTGCTGTCACCCGCACCTTCTGCTCTGCAGCCAGCTGGGTGCAGACGTGGCTGCCCTGACTCGGACACAACAAAGCAGAGGGTGTCACATGCCAAGGCCAGGGCTCTCAGGAAGTTGAAGGTCAAAGAGTTTTCGCCAAGGTTTTCCTCCGCGCCTGTTTTTGAAGCTGGACATTTAAGTGCTGGACACAAAACCTGGCCCAAATGTCCTGTGGTTCCCCTCAGGGACCCCATGCCCCTGCTCCCGCCCACAGTCTCTGTGGGAGGCCATGGTACAGTGCCTCTGCTGTCCAGTCACCTGGGAGGTGCCCCCCGCCGCCCCCACAAGCTCAGGGGGCAGCTTGCTGGAGCACAGCCTGCTGGGGCTTGGAGCAGCCTAGAAGGCGGAGGCCTTGGCCAGCTCCTCCTCCATGCGGGCATACTGCGCGCGGAGACGGCCCAGTGCTCGCCCGTGCTCCTCGTCCACGGCCGCCTGCCCGGCGCGCTGCTGCCTCACGAACTCCTCCCACTGGGCACGCCGCCGCTGCTCGCTGGCCAGGGAACGGCTGCCAAGGGTCTGGGAAGAGAGGAGACAGTCATGCGGTGCTCCCCAGACATGGCTCTGCATGCAGGCACCAGCGGCAGGCAGCGTCACCTGAGGCAGATACTCCGCCTGTGGGGGGAGATAGGGGCAGGAAGGGGCGAGGGGAGGAGAAACAGGGGGTGGCGCCCCCTCCCCCCCCCCACCAACCAAGCAAGACCTGGGCCTCAGTCCCTGCCACTCCCTAGGTCCCGTTTCACTCAGTTCAATACCAACCGAGGCCCAGGCGGGAGGGTCACGGCAAGAGGAGCCAGAGCCTCATGAACGAGGCGCAATGCGGGCACAGAAGCGCGTCTTCAACCCGGACTTGAGCACCTCTCCGACAGGGAGCCACAGGCCATGTCCATGCCCAAGTCCCCATGCCTGCACCCCTCTCCTTCTGCAGGCACCCTGCGGGTCCTCACATCCTTGCCGTTGAGAGCCGCACCCCCGCAGGAGCACACGGCCATCCAGGATGAGCACCAGGGCCACCCCCTCTTCTGGCTGGGCTGGCCAGAAGATCAGGGTTGGCCAGTAGCAGCCTGCGCGGCGGCCTCCACGCTCGGCCGTGCTGGCCTGATAGCCAGGCAGAGCTCCCCAACCTCCAGCAGAGTGGGGTCTCCGGAGGAACTAGATGGTGGCTCGGCCCCAGGCCACAGCAGGCCCCACACACACATGCTGCGAGACGCCTCAGGGAAGGCTTGTCAAGGGAAAGCCTGTGAGGGGGTGATGGAGTCCCCGCTGCGCTTGGGGATCAGCGAGCAGCCCCACACATTATCTCTTTGGTCAGCAATCATGAGCATGGAGACAGATGCCCGTCAGATGTCACGGGGTGAAAGAGGGCTAGTGCCCTGGGAGCCCGCAGATGCAGGAGGATACCATGCAGGTGCAGCCGACCACCTTGGGGCTGAGGGCAGGGGGCGGCGCCATGGGGACACCAGCAGGTGGGCTCATGGAAGCGCAGGGAGGGAAGGGCCCTCGAGCCAGCTCCAGCACCCCACACCAAGACCGTGGCAGGCAACAGTGTCCACG